CTGCCAGCAGACTGGGTGCCCTGCATGCCCTCACAGCTTAATGCCCTTTGTTGGCCGACAAATGCATTCCGTCGGACATACCAGTCCAATGGTATGCTGGTTTTCCCAACCAGGAACCAGGTTTGCAGCAGTAGCCATTGACGTGGATGGTATCTCTATGTGATGCGTGCAAAAGGGACTCAACTACAGCTCAGATGCGGGTGCCACCTCTCAGATGACCTGCCCCTGAGGAAACTTTCATGCACTGGCAAATTGACTATTGTAGCTTGCCAGTATGTAAGGGAAAACTGGACTCTTAGTGATGGTGGATCTGTTTTCCCGGTGGGTTGAGGTGTTTCCAGTTAAAAGAACCATTGCCTCTGTGTAGACTTCTGCTACACAGGCTCCCGAATTGCTGTAATTTTGTTTGGCACAACAAGGGTCACAGAGAAACAGAGATAGCTTAGTATATAGCAAAAGAATAATAGAGAAAAGAGTACGGTTAGAGAGCAGAAGAAGGGGAGTGACCAGCAGAAGTTGAAGGGTTCCTAAAGACAGGGGGACAGAGAGAGGAGTTAGGAAGAGCCAGAGAACGTGAGAAAGACAGCAGAGCCAGGGGAAACAGAGGGGGGCAAGAGATGACTCTACTGAGGTGTGCAGGACTGGCTAATCAAGTCAGCAGATCCCCTCCTCACCACTATAGCTTCTCATAGCCCTCCCTGACTGGCGACCGATTTGTACAAGTCACAGTGTAAGAAATATTTCAACATTCCACCATTACCACAGACTGCTACAGCAATTTATTCAAATAACAAATGAAAGAAGACAAAAGAGCACACAGTTCATCGAATGGAAATAACCCACAGCAGCAAGGGAACTGTCAGGGAGTCTGCGGTGCTAGCACAGCGTACACAGCACAGCCTTAACAGAAACGCCTGCACACAGACTGTAAGAGCCCCACTGCCACTCCACTCTGTCAAATAATGCCACTGTGCAGTTGTGTTTCACTATGAGACTGCAGCAGTGGAAAACCTTGCTACCTCATGCCTGACCTGTGACATAGTATTACACAGATTACTGTCTGGTTGCGGTGTAATGTCTAATAAATGCCAAGCCCTAATATTAAGAAGTCGTATTCACAACAAGCAGTCTTGACAGAAATATAAAACAACTGTAACTCAGCACCAAGCACAATACAGAGGAAATGTATTGGTATGGTGCTAAGATTTCCCCTCGTACATCATGCAGGGTATGACAGTTTCAGAAGCCTAAAATTATACTCTGGTTATGGGTCAAGGAGTGTTCCACTAAGAACACGAGACCAGTTATAAGAGGAAGATAGTTTCCTCTTGTGCCATCTGGTTTGTGTTTCCCTGTTAATTCCAAAGACGTCTTCTGGGTTGGCAGTACTTATGAGGATTTTGAATGCTTGAATCAGGTCTGCCCATAATCTTCTCTGTTCAAGGCTAAAAATATTCAGCTCTTCGTAAAATATTCCTTTAAGCCTGGAAACATAAATGGTTGCTCTTCTTTGCACTGATTCCTGATCAGCAAAATTTTAATTTTTGATGATGACTGGAGGAAGTCCAGTTTTGATGTGGCAGGGTGTCAGAAGCATACAAGTCCTGCCACTCTATGTCTGAAGTTAATTCCATCATTTGTTAGAATAAGCAAACCTAGAGGAACAGGTCGAGTAACACGTCTGACAAGGTAAGTTTTATATAACATATTCATTATCCTTATTTATCATATATTAGTCAAAAACATTCAATTGTAAAATATATATATAATCAGTCTAATATTTGTTAGTGAATTCAGCAGTTCGGTGATACCCTGATTAAAGCCAGGATTAAGGTGAAGAAGAGACATGATTTGAACAGTGACCTTTATTGGGGTGACTCACCCCACTGAGGAGAACAAGAACTTGTCCATAAAGTTGGGGAAGTCAGATACCACCCTTTTACTGAGAGATAATTAAGAGTAATTTAGAGTGCTCCAGCTGCAAGGGTAGCTAGGAATATCTGAGAGAGAAAACAGCTCAGGCTTCAGGAGATTTCAGCCCAGACTAGAAAGTTTGAAATGCTTTGAGCACAGAAAAATACAGTAATTTAAGGAAAGCAAAACCACGATCTGCAGTGGGACAGAGAGAAAATCAGACCCACTAGAGTGCAGAGGGTTCCATGACTACGACAAGTCCAAAGCACTGTTGCCGGGACGCTCCTCTGCTGCTGCCATTGTTGTTGTTGTTGTTTTGGCTGTCAAACTGGTCAGTAGTGAGGTGCCAGGCCGCATCATTTTCTAGATGACGTGACACCCTGTGAAAACAACCCTGCGACCTGCGCTGAGAACAGCCCACTGCCACACTGCTCCACTGCAGATGCAGCCCACAGAGAAACACAAGAAAACACATCCTTAGTGTCACCTGGAGAGCCAGTAGGCAGGGGGTGGGGGTAATAGCAACACACTTCAAAGTGTCTTTTCTTTCCTAAAGGTTTGAAAATATGAGACATCAGTGTGACATAACCAACCAGCAAAAGTGTTTTACTGAAAAAGGCCTCGGTGTTCTTGAAATTGTACAAATTTGAATAGCATTATTTTTTTTAAATTACGAAAATGTCTGATACTGTATGTCTGATTGTATGTATATGAAACATTACTTGAATTTGGCTTCTCTTTAAGGATTTCTTAAAATAGATATTAAAATGTTTTAATCTGAAAACCTATTCTACCAATGTTTATTATGACTTAACATCATGTGAAGCACAATAAGAGGTTCTTAATTTGTACAGACCTTTATCTGCTCTTCAAAGTATCAGAACTGATCCATGTTTCTTATAAGAACAGTATTAAATCTGTTTCACTGATCTGGACACAGTTTAACCACACTGATGATTCCTCTGCTGTTTTCTTGTTTTGATTTAATTGATGAGGCAGAATTTGAGTTCTTTTTAGATGGTTCTCCTTCCTTGTGGTTTGAAACTGTTCCGGTTTCTGGTTATCATAAATATATATATACCACTTACTTCTTTCCCCAAAGCAGGTATAATGTGTGGGGCAACACACGTCCTCAAAGAGATGCAGAGAGTTTTGGGGAACACCCCCGCATCCAAGCTACTCTCTCTTTCAGTCACACTTTCTTTTCCAGGACAGCGACGCTGATACTGGCTCTGAGTCACACTGTGACACAAATTTACGCTGGAAAGTCCATTATAAGAGCACATCATGCTCCCACAGTATGTGACTCTGGTTACTCTGTGAACAGGGCAGGCACAGTATGTCTCAGGATAGCTTGGTCTTACCCCATTGCAGTGATGTCTTTGGGGAAAGCAACCAAGGTTTCAGGTGATCCTATCTCACACAGGGATGAACACCATCAGACATACCAGATTTATAAACTGTTGCTGAATTATTACAGAATGTGAATCAGGCCACCTCTTTCATGGAGTCTTTGCTCTGTTCTCAGAAGAAAGGTAAACCCTTCTCGTCTAGGTCCTTAGTACTGACCCATCACAAACTGACTCTCTTAGAAATACAGTGTTGTTCTGCAGCAGACGGACTGTGTTGTTTTCTGAAGTCGGTGTTAGCTTTCGCAAGAGCTCTGTCAAAGCCTGCAAAATCCACGTTACCACTGCTAAACATAAGTTCACCTTTTCTTCCTTACATATTATGAAAGGCTTGGATTGCATTTAATGAACCGGAGCCCGTCAGTCCCAGATTCAGTGTCTGTATCCATGCTGACGACGGAAGCAGTGTCTGTGTGCACATACTGATGATGGAAGCAGTGTCTGTGTGTCTCTGTTGTCTTCTTCCCAGGCGTGCGCTTTCGTGTTTCGGACAGCTCCCCCTGCAGCACCGTGAGAGAGCACTCCTGGCCCCTGCGGTCTGTCTGCAGCGAGTCCCACACTCCGTCTGCCGCTGCACTCGGGGTCCTGCGCAAGGTGGGAGAGCAGGCACAGCAGCCCAGGAGCGAGAGCCCCCCTGCATGGGTGTCTGTGGTCAGGCTGTGGTTCGGGGAGGGGGGCCTGTGAGAACAGCGGTGAAAGGGGCTGCAGGAGGAATCACACCCTGGTTAAAACTGAGACCACAAGAGCCGCCACCAGACTGTCGCACTGACGCGCAGATTGACATAGCAGGACTAAAGCAGATTCTCAGATACATCTCTAAAGGCACAAGACGACAGAGGCACAAACATTGACACCAACACACTGAGATAACAACCCAAGCATGCTGGCAGCAACACAATTCACTGCAAATGCATATTAACATTATTACTCTTCAGTAGAACTGGATCAAATTAACACAGCAGCACACTAGAAGGCCATTTCATTATTTCAATTTGATCATGAAAGTACGCCAATTGATGATCACAAACACACACCACACACCAGCATGCTAGTCGTCTCCTGTCCTGTCTCCTGACATAGACACCGACTGTCCATCATCAGTATGTTGGAGGACACGACTGTGTTTCACGCTCCTTATCGAAGCACCAGTGCATCTTAGGAACAGACAGACATAAACACAGGTATTGTCAACCTCCTCCATAATTTAGTTCATTCACAAGACCTTGTTCAGCTACAGCTCAATGGGATAATACTGTATGAGGTGAATCTGCATAAATAGCTAACAAGACTCATAAGCATTAATGAAATAGGGAATGTCCCTGTTACGGACACCACAAACGGGACAACATTTATTTCTGAACCAGTGCAACCCTCAGTGACCACACGTGTTCATTTACTTCTGCTGAACCTCTTCAAGTTTATCGCAAAATGAAACTGGTCAGTCAGGTAATATGGAGTAAAAAAGTCATTAAGGCCTAAGAGGGAATAACATTAAGATACATTTCAGAATTGTTAAGCTCCAAAAGGGCTCTTGATTGGGACATTACACAGAATTGTTTTTTATCGCAGAGTGCTTTAATTATAATCAATTCAGTACAAAACCACAAGCTTCAAAGTATTTCAACAAGCCTTCCATCTGTGATTTAATCTGTTCAGGCTTTGCACTAGATAGTGTGAAAGCTCAGAGAGAGCTCATGTGTCTCTCATTGACAGTGGCCCAGGGACACAGCCATGACTCCCAGGGATGCTCTGTCCTCCTCAAGGCATCCCTAGCTGTGTGGCAGCTGTGGCACAGATGTTGGCCACCTTTCAGACACAAGACTTTGTTTTGTTTTTCTGAAATCAAGGCACAGAGCACTTGAGCTGTGACGAGGTTTTGCCCGAGTTCCTGTTTGCGCCTCCCCCTCTTGAAAACCTCTTTTCTTCGCAACCTCAGAGGAAAGGCAGAGAGAGAGACAGAGGAGGGCTGAAAGAGAAAGAAAGAACACAGACAGAGAGGGAAGGGAGAGAGATACCGGAGTATCAGAGGGAGAGGGTGTCTCGGAAGAAATCCAGGCTTTCATCTCTCCCCAAGCCCCAGTCCAGAGAGGCCATGAGCCACCCAGCCAGCCGGCTCTCCATGCTTTCCCTGCTACTGCTGCTACCCAACGGTAAGACACCACCCGCTGAGCTGCACACTGCACCACAGACTCACACCAACACCAGGCAGGGCAGTCCAGAGCGCTCTGGATAGACAAGCTAGCTCCCATTGCGGTGCACTACAAGAATTGCTGAGCTGAGCATCTGAAGCTCCTTTGTAAGAAAAGTCTTTGGAAAAGAAATAAGCCAAGTACTGGAATTGTCAATTCATGCCAGAGTGGGTCTCTGGTTCAACCATCTCTTTAATCTAAAGTCTTAATTATCAATTTAAAAAGCAGTAAAAACCAGCAATCCCGCAGCTGAGAGAATTGGGAAGTCTGGTCTCTGTTACCCCCACCTGGACACAGAGAGCTGTCCCTCACACCAAACAACCGCAAAAGAACGTGATCAGAACTCGCCACAACCACAGAAAACCACGTCTTCTAATAGTCTTCTAATCTTGACCATGCGCGAAGGGCAGTGGGGTGCTGTCACACTGAAGCCTGAGTCTGATTTATCTGCCGGTGTCTCACACTCCGATACAAGCTGTGGAATATACTGCCACTTGAAAATACAGAAATCCGGCAGACTGTGCAAGGCAGGTTTAAACATTCCAACTACTTTCAGGAGATTTAAGAAAGGGCAGCAGAACTGCTCTCCTGAACAAAATATTCTGTGTTCTCGTTGCTGCTGTGGGAACTCTCCAGTCTTGGGATGCATCAGTTTAAGGTGAGAGATCGGACATTGTTCTTAATCACTGAAAACCTTGAGGATTTTCACACTCTGTCCTTGCTGTGAAAGGGAAATTATATAGAATTGAATCAATCTTGGAAAGGCTTGTCTTTGTGTAAGGGATTGGAAGGCTTGAAGAAATGTTTATGCACACGGTTTCGGGATGACTGAGGTCACAGGGCTGGGACGGGAACTCTGGCAATATGAAAGATCAGTGCGGACTTTCCTCAAACACTCGTTCTCGTTCTAAAGATTAGGCTTTAGCCTCTTCGCTTCATGATAGACAGGGGCTCATGTGCACATGCTGTACAGTACCAGCACAAGGAGGGCAGAGAGAGACAGCATGAGGCAGAGTTCTAACCCAACCCCTCGGGTTTCTCTTCCACCTCACTCCGTGGTCGCTGCTCGTGGAAAGTCTGACGGAGAACGCCACTGCAGGGTTTTTCTCTGATTGCACTTTTTCTCTTAACCAGCTCAGATTTTTCATTTTTTATTTTGTTCCTGAAACTGCTACTGTTTTTAACAGTTCCGTTTTCCTTTTTTGGAGCGTCTTGTTGTTGTTGATTCTGTCTGATGTTCTCGGTATCAGTCCCGAGAGATCCCCGAGTCAGTCAGAGAGTGCGGAGCGTGGAGCTAGGGAGCTGCCGGTGTCAGAGCACCGCTGGGGAACAAACCTGAGCCGCAGGTGGGACCCCAGCCAGGAAGACCTCTCAGACTGTGGGGGGATCACGTTCCAGCAGGGAGGGAGAAACGTCAAACTCGCTGTAGGGTAGGCGCCACCATGGCTGGTGTTCTCGTGCCCGGGCTCGGCCGTTTCAGGGTCATTCTGCTGTGTCTGTCAGCTGGCCTCTGCATCAAGACGTCCTCACATGGTGCTTCGGGTAAGAATTCCATTCGTCATTGACAACCTCGGTCTAATTACTGACAATGAACATTACAAATACAGATCGGGTATGGCATGCCAAAGACCATGCACTGTGGAGTGGAGTATGGTGTATACTGGGGACACTCTTCCAAGACCAGGTGTAAAGAAGGTGGTTTCACAAGCATGTTTCATGTCTGTTAGTTTTTAATAAAGATACAAGTTTCTGGCAATGCAGCAGCTCCCTGAAAGCTTTCTTTCAGAGTTTATGCGTCGGATTAGAAGAACAGTAAAAGAATCACAGAAAATTCACCTTGATTGTGGTAGAGCAGATCACTCTTCAATGATTAATCTGTGGAATATTGCATTTTTGAGTCTCAGATATTGACAATTAGCTTGTTTCTCAATCTATAAAAGGGCAGGGCAAGCACAGCACCTTCGGCTTTTTTCTTTGGGGAAGACTTGAATCCCTGTGTTTGCTGCGGAAGTACATTTAGAGGACAAAGACAGTTCTGAGAGTTGGGAAGTGAACTACAGCTCCGAGTGAGGAGTTAGACTTTGTTTTGTGTGACTTATTTTTGCTGTGGCAGATAACCTGATGCAAGTGAACGATTCCGGTCAGTTGTGATGTGTAGCCCCTCGAACAGTCACTGTCGCATCAAACTCCGAGCTTTGGAGCAGCAGCTGATGGTGCAGCAAGCTGGTCAGAGCAGACTGAGCTGCTTCCTGCCCCTTCCTGGCTCTTTGCCGCGTCTTTCTCTTTTGCCGACCGTTATTAGGCTGTTATTTTGTGGGGGGGGGTTTCTTCTCCGTCAGTCTCGTTTCCATTGAGGTGCAGCTTTCGTTGTGATTTAACAAAAAACAAAAAGAGTGAAATCTACCAATATCAGTCCTTTCCAAACAACAACAACAACAACAACAGCTACCACCTGAAAAGCTGCCACTGCTGTAGGGAATGTGCTCCATCAGAAGACAAACACCTCGCCAGCTCACTTTCAGTTCCAGTCTTCTGTCACTTCTGTTTCCACTTGAAAGGGAAAGAGCAGCTCTGCTCGGAACCTCCGGCCGTGACATTCTCAGTGGAAAAGGCACCGCAGGTGTCGGTATTGATCATGCTTTCGGGAGATAAAGTCCCGGAGGAGTTCACGTAGTATTTCAAAAGCCCGGCCAGGAGCCGTGCAGATGGCCAGCAAGGGGAAAAACACCTAACACAATGTTCAGTCACCGATTCAACTAGCTTTTGGTTTCCTCTAAAGTGCTTGTATGATATCACAACATTTCTAACTTGCTTTTTACTAGTTAGCTAATACACTTTATTTCCTTTGTGGGACAGCACCGAAGCATAGTTCCTTCACACAAAATTTGCCATTTTTAGTAATTATTTCAAAATGTCTCTGTATGGTATTGCTAGAAATAACCAATCAACTCTTTGGGGAATTGCAGGTAGTGCTGAGGTGAAGAAATATTCAGTTCGTCACATATTAAAAGCATGAAAGATCTAGATGTTGATAGCTTTTGTGTTTAATTACCACAGTTAAATCAGAATCACGAAGAGCGTTGTGGCTTGCAGGTTTTCAAAACAATGTTCACAGATTGTGGATGTTGATTAAATGATTTGGCATAATTTTAATAATTGATCACTCATGACTGACCATGAGGTTCTTGACTGACTTTGACTTTTGCATAAGCACTAAATCACTTCAGCTGTAAGAGCTCACCAGGCACAGGTGATGAGGTAATTCTACCTGTTGCATTTCTAGCCTGTAAAGAACGAGAAAAAGCACAGAAAACAATTAATTTCCTGCGCTTATCAAGAGAACCGTGCTTTTGTGTCATCAGTACTGTATGTTGGAGGGCTCACCTGCAGTGAAACGATAAATCAGTACCTCCTCCTGATCATGCTGCTTCTGAAACTGATTTCTTACAAGATGAAAATTCTGAGTCCTGTTGAACAACTGTGGGATGAGCTGGAATGATGTGCGACCTTCACAAATCAGAGGCAAGTTAAGAGTCAAGACTCTTCAAAATGTGTGGGGCAGAATCTCACAAGACAGCACCCGTAACCTGGTGAAAAGTATGTGTCGCAGATGTACAACTTGTGTTGCTTTTGACACTGACCAGACACTACTAGCCTGTGACTTTCAGAGTAGATGGCAAGGATCAGCTCTGTTGATGAGACATTTTAGTCAGCGTGCGTGTGTCATGTCTGTTCGATAAAATGTTGGTGCACAAGCTACAAAACTTATGTTGTCAATTTCCTGACAATAACTTTATAAAAATTGTTTTGCACATGTTAGTAAGAATTTTCTTTTGCTGCTCATTATATCTCCACCATAGGCAATTAACACAATTATATATAAAATATAAAAGAGGCAATTATAGGCAAGGTCTAAGTGTTAATGGTTCAAGCATCACAGCTGTGAAAATGAAGCAGGCAGGCTGTGACACAACTGCATTGTACTATTTGTGTTATTAGCAGGTTCCTCTGACACTGTAATTCAATAGCATTAGTCCCAGGCACTGGCCTAATGCTGGTCTCCACATACCAAGGGGTGAGATAACCTCCCCATGAGCCAGACCAAGCAACAGACCTTCAGTACGTTGAAGATGGCAGCTACTGTTGGCAAGGAATATCAATTGCCAATATCAATTTGTGTGGCTCAGCAGGAGTACACTTCATAGTCACAATAATAACCATTAAACATTTAGCAACTCTGACTTATAATTAAGCCTGTATTTTTGTGAAATATAACATTCACCTTTTAAAGTTAACTGTTTTGTTTAAGATGACTTTCACACCTGCTACTTTCTGTCTCAGTGAGATCAGGAGCTTCTCCATTTCCATCTTTCAATTAGTTAGCTGTCTTTTTTTATTTTGTATCTGTTTATATGTAGATTAATTAAATCTACCTCAAGTCCCTGCATTCAGTCACAGAGAAATAGAAGTGCAAAGACATTCAAAAACAAGGACTTGTTATGAAATCCTGACATTTCTTAATTAATGACCAAGTAATTGAGCTATCGACTTAATGTTGTCTTCAGATCTCAGGGTCCTGTTACAGGTTCTGTTAAGAAGTTAAATGATCAGCTGGAAAGACCACCAGAGGACACAGGACACCAGTGCACAATTGGATGAAGCTCTTTGAGTCACATTTCCTCTTAGTTTTTTCCCTTAAGTGCTCATTAAAGTCAAGCATCTGGCACAGAGCAGCTGAATGCACTGGAGGCATTAGCCTGGTTAAGGGGTAAAGTATTTAATACTTGCAGGTAAATGGTCTTGGTCTTAAATGATTTCAGGACTGAGGACAGCTGGCACTTATTCCATGTACTACCTTTAGTGTTAAAAACAGATCCTTTTTCCTACTTGCTCCTACTTTACTAGGGTGAAAAGTCAACAGCATTCAAGGGGAACCCAAGGGAAGATTCAGCTCAAGGCCACTGGCATGAAAAGCAGACCACTTTGAGTTGATTATCAGGCACTGCGATGCACTGTCCTGCACTGCCTGTATTTTGCAGTTGGTGGCATTCTTCTGTAGGTATAGCCCAGCCCTGTGTGTCACTCAGGATCTCAGGATATTTCAGGGAAAGTAGAACAAAGTAAAACAAAATAAATTCTGAGGTTTGGGTCCAGAGATCTCAGCTTGGACACTTGCAGTGGACAGCAGGCACAGAGATGTAAGGGAAAAACAAAACAGTCTGTGTTTGCACGAAGACGCTGGTGAATACTTATTTTGACTCAAAAACTGTTCCTCTTCTTTCTTGATCATTACAGTCTGACGTTAATTGACCTTAGCCTGACACAGCGATTCCATCACTCTTACCGCCAATGGATGGAAAATTAAAAAGTAAAGACGAAACAGTATTTTGGATCAAAGGCGTGGCTGGTATAAGGATCCAGGCTATCGGAAATTTTCTGTGAACTTTGTTATTTGCTTTGTGTGCAAGATATACCGACCTTGATTTCCTCCACTGGACGGTTTGAGCAATGTCTGTGACAGTAACGGAAACACAAATGTCACAAAACCAGAGCAGAGTAGCTGACAGGGTCAGCAGGAGCATTTCTGGGTGATTTTTATATAAGGAGAACTCAGAAAAAAGAAAAAATGGCCTAGGTGCTAAAAGCCACAGGTGAAGAACTTGGCCAGTGCTGCCTCGGATCCGAGAGAGGAGGTCACGCAAAGCTCAGGGCTGCCACACCAGATCACACTCAGACACACGTCTATCACGAGAGCACAGGAAGGACCGTCAACAAGAAGTCAGTCACTTACTCATCTCAGAACTGCACAAATTTAACCACTCAACTATTACCGTAGCACAGCTCTCCAAAAGAACCAGAATGGTTCAGAGCGAAACACATAGGCCCCCCTGCTTTAATTTTCTGCCATCACTGACAAAAATCTTTTCAAAACTAAACCATGTCATTTCTATATTCGGGGCTGTGAAAGGTATCACCCCATCGCCTCATTTGCGCATTTGGCCTCTGCCTACTTCTAGCTCAACTGAACACGCTGTCTACATCACAGCTAGAAAACGTTCAGCCACTATAATTATTCATTCATATTAAAACCAGAAAAGTGATTGATGAGCTTTGACTCCAGTGAGCTGCAGCAAGCAGCAAAAGAAGGTTGTCTCTTGTCAATGCAAGGGAGCGTTTAAATTATGTCTGTGCTGTAAAGAGTGTCCAATGGCTAAGACTTGGCTAGGCACCACTTCTCTGGGGTGTTGAGTAAAGCCCACTTGTCCTTTACAGTGTCAGACAAGGTCGTCATGATAAGCATGATGTGCTTATGAGGTTCTATGATGGGCATGAGTCCCATCATTTACTGGTCAGTGTTGTTTTGGTCATACCAGAGCTCACACTGCTATGCAGTAAATACAAAGGTACATTAATATATATTAGGAGCAAGATCATATGGATGATTTATGAGATTGAGAAGAAGTGATGGGATGATATTGATCAAGCTGTAAGCATGGAAATGACATGGTCTCATGTTTTTAAAATTATTTGAATCAACGATGACAGAAAACTGTAGGATGGGTCCTGTGTGCTTCAGCCTGAACCATTCTGGTTCTTTTGGAGTCACAGGAGAGGGGTTAACCTGTGAACTCCTTCAGGTGGCGACCGTGCCAGACAGATGATCAGGGCTCATGAGGCACCGAGCCCTGACAGTCATCACTGCCAAGGGTGGAGTACAAGATACGGATTTGCATTTCCACTATGTGCTGTGGAAGACTGAGTTGTTCACCCTGCTTTAGAAAATCATCCACTGGAGACTTTGTTACTTTGTGCATCCTACACTGCTGCAATTTCCCACTGTGACATTCCATGCACTTCCTTTTTGCAGGGCAGTATTTTTAAAATGTTAAACCTGTGTGGATGATGAACTTTAAGTTTTGGATTCATGGTGTATGTTTGTATATATTGATATTGGGACGTGGTTAACTCTAATTTCATTGGGCCCGTTGTCTTCAAAGTTCTGTATATCAGACTGGCAAATTTCAGCTACTTGCATGTAATGCAGCTACAAATATGTATACCCATTTTATTTTTAGCAGGCTTTTCTGCAAAGTCAACAGTTTTCTGTGTGACGTACTCCTTGATATTCAGTGTCTTTGAGTTAGTGTAGCTTATATTGTCCCCTTCAGTGTGTATCCTGCCTAGTGTCCATTGTTTTCTGGAGATAGGCTCTGGCTCACCCCCAGTCCTACTGTATTTTGGATAAGTGGTTTGAAAACTGATGGATGAATAATGTACAAGTACAATTTTTTAAAATTGGGCTTTATTGAGCTTTGAAGATGCAGGGAGTCTGTGTTCTGTGTAGGAATGCATTCCGTCTTATAATGACTATCTAGCTCAGGGCTGTAAATCATCCTGCCACAGCATCACCCCTTCATAAACTTTGTGAGTGGACAGGACAAAAAGTCACAGGGCCAATTTTTCATTTACAGGACACCAAGGTTTTGACACAGTGGTGAAGTTCTTTTCGGCAGAAATACTGGCAATAAGCTAAACTTTCATTCAAAATTCCTGGAGTGCAGTTGTGGATGTTCTTCTTTTAGGACAGGTTGTGGCTTTGCTCCTTTTAATGTTCGTCTAGTTTAAAAATTGGTTTGTGGGCCCAATTGGACTATCAGTGATAAGAAATTGGTTCCAAGGCAATGTCTGCAAAAACCCTTTTCAGTTCAGTTCAGTGTTTACCGGGTCTACAGCCACTGTGGAAATATGCCTGAAGTGTTAGTCCTCTTTTACACACTCCCTGTGAGAGAAAGATCAAACACAGGTGAAAATTCTCTGTGCGGTACATTGGATGTGAACCAAAATTACGCTTTTCAGGGTGAATTCTTAACATTTATCGATTAACTTTGCCAACAAAATCTACTGGAGAGCTTTGAAAGGGACACAGTCAATACTGCAGTCGTCTACTGCTTGCACAGATACAATAAAGTCAGGATACTTTCAAGAACAAATCTGTCACGATGAAAAACATGACCGTGAGTGTTAACCTCAACGAGCCTGGTTTGGGAGAACAGGCCACACAATTCGTAACCACAATGCCTTTCGGAAAGCAGAGTTGTGTATCACTTAGTGACTTTTTCTTCAGCACAGAACGCAGCACAAAGGATTAACGGATTCAGTCACTCATTTGGCTTATTCTTAACCTACTGGTGCCTGCTGGGATGACAGGAAAGAAACTAGAGAACTACACGAAAAACCATTAAGCTGCTCAATTCTTCACGCTAATGTATATAGCTCTTTTCTGGTCAGGGTTGAGTCTATTATAAAAGATGAATGGCTCAACAGCTGGCCAGTTATTACCTGTCATAATCCTTCCTGCTGTGATCCAAGTCATAAAAAAGCCAACTGGCAATTTCATTTTGGGTGAGCACCTGATTAAAAATGATTAAATTTCAAAGAGCAGGGTATGTGAAGCTACAGCACAAGCAGTGAAGATTTGTAACAGTACAGTAGAACAGAAAAGGATATAAATGCATTACATTGCAGATCTGCTGGCTTTCCCACCTTGCATGTGTTACCGTAACAAGTGCAGAACAGTTATAAGTGTTGTTCAGTGCGGAGACCTTTCACTCGTCCATGTGTGCAGGAACCGTCAGTTTACGGTAACTGAACCACTGAATCACCAGTGGAAGGTTCCTATTTCTGTTTGAACTGTTTTATTAATAATCAGAGGAAATGCATGCAGCCTCACCAGGTTAACCACAGGTGTGATGTCAGTGCTGTGCTGAGAGCGCTGAGACAGGATACACAGCGGACTGGGGTTTGGCACACAGCGACGTGGTGCATCCTGAACACACACACATAAACACGCAAACTCCTTTGCCTCACTCACTCCCCAACACAGACACACAGCCCTACAGCTTTACACAGCTTACTGCCTCCTGCATACTGTTGCTCACAGATACTATCTCTAGCAGACACGCATAATGTATTTGAGTCTAGAATAACATGGGGAGAAAGGGGGAGAATGCCATATACCATATATCCAGCAGCTACAGTATATCACCCTGCAACACAACTGGCAGCCCCTGGATGCCAATAGTCCCCATTACCTGTAAAGTGCTTTGAGTGGAGCATCCAGAAAAGTGCTATTTACAGTAGGTGTAAGAGACAGTTATTATTAACTATACAGAGTATATACCTATATGCATGCACACACACTGACTATAACCCTTGACTCTCCTGCACCAGGCATGCTTGGCTCAGACCAGTGTGAACCTTGGATGGCTACAAGCTCTGCTCATACATTCACACCCTGAATTCTTTCTCTCCGTTATCCTCTTTAGCGAACCTACAAGAAGAAAAGATGGAAGCCTTCCGTGGGACAGAAGGCGAACACTTCAACATGCGATTTGTTTTCAATTCCAGTATTGCTCCGTCATCAATAAAAGGGGCTGGTCTGTACAAAGATGGAAAAAAAATCAATGAGTATATTAAAGGCGGCCAGTCCATTGGACACCACAGGATACTAATCAAGCTGGAAGGCAACAACGTCACAGTCAGGTTTAACAGTCTGCAGCTCAGCGACTCTGGAGTTTATCACATCGGCTTGTCTCGCAGCATCACAACAGATCCGCTCACGCTCAGCAGCAAAGTCAACCTGACGGTCAGTGAGAGAGGAAATGGAACAGGTAGGTGTGTTCGCCGACGCTGCCCGCTGGTCACACAGCTCCAAGTCCAGAGACATGGCCCTCAGATGGCATTGGAGCAGAGATGCCAAGTCTATTAGGGAACAGACACATGGAATGAGAAACAATTCTACTAGGAAGCAAACTGCATTTTTGCCTTGCAGATGAAAAAAAACACAATTTAAAATGCTGCTGGGCTCAAGTTATGACTTACTGTATATGGTTTAGGTGTTCACGCCAAGTTGAGGTGCAACAGCCGAAACATCATTTTCAAGCCTTGAGTCAAGAAACTGATCATATCTGAGTATGAGAATCATTGTCTTTTATGAACTGCTGAGCCTTTAACTGAGGACTGTGATTGAGATGTTAAATTAAAAAAACTGTTGCAGTTCAATTGCAGCTGTCCAAGACAGAAGCCTTTGCATTTTTAGAAATACTTCAAAACTGCACTTTTGAAATGCAGTAATTTGACATGATATATTAGAGCACACATGCAGATGTGTGACAATTCATGTTATACTCTTTCAGCTGGGCAGGCATTGAGCCTTTATGAAGATGAGATTAGGTTAGAGTTCAGGACATTAACATCTTGCTGACATGTTCCTTCCAGAGGCTCCACCAACACCGACGCAAGAAGATATTCCAAACCAGATCTCCTACATCATCATAGCTTCAGGGGCCACAGTCCTGATACTGCTTGTTGTCGTGGGGTATTGCCTGTACCTGGCCACCCACAAGAACACAGGTGAGACTTTGGAAGCCCCGTCAAGAGTTTTGCAAGTCTCTTACTGGGGGACATGGCATTAGACTTTTACTTTCATTCCTTTATTCTGCTGAAGGCTTCTTCTGAGGAGCAATGCTTCACAGTTAGAAAATGTGCCAAAGAGCACCAGTTACAAAGCTGAGTCTGCCTGTGTAAAGTTCAGGAGTTTGCAAAGTACTGGAACCAGAGCAGAAGTACAGTTCATGGCATGTGAGACAAACAAACTATAATGTCTAAAAGCACCATTTGAGGAAGGCAGCGTAGAGGAGCTGCAGTAAGGTGGTTTAGAGAATGAGAAAAGATCTTTATTAATCCCAGTTCAGCAAGAATTTCTCACACGTTATCTCTTATGACTCATGGACAATCGCTGTCATCTCTTCCCACTCCTACAGATATGAGTTACAAAAGTGCAATGGGAATTAACTAGAATCTGAAAATGAGGATGGTGATAGTGGAGCTTCCTGAATGAAAATAACTCCTTTGTACAGCCATTGAAGGGCTGGAACTAATGTACTATCCCCTGAGCTTCCTTCTCTCCATCATTCAGGCTGAGTGAAAACCGACCCTCCCTGTCACTGACCCAGACAGACTCAATACTGAAGGCTACTGTGTGGCCACCTGGCTAGTCCTCACCCTGGCCTGGCCGGGGTGTAATCTAGGAGCACAGCTATGGAGCAGTGAACTAAGGGGGAGCTGTCAATGTAGTGCGGACAGGAGCAGAGCAGCACACAGCGAGCCGTGGAACAAAGTGACAGTGAGAGGAGGTAGGAGGGAGATGTAGTAGGCAGCATGACTTGGTAATGAAGATAAACACCTACACATGCCTGCACTGATCTAAAACCCCCTCCCTCCCCAAACCTCATTACTTCTAGAGCTAAAAACACTGTACACTCACACACGAGGATGGCAGGGTTCTTCAGCCCACCTGCACGCACCCTCGTACCCAAGAAGCACCCAGATACCGACTCGCTCTGCTCTCCATCACTACAAGCAACTTTGCAAAAACGCTATGTTAGCAAAATTAAAGTGCTTAAGTTGCCAGACAAGTGACTATTTTTCAGTGACTGTCATAAATGCGTTAAAATTAAAGAAAATGATTCTCTATTTCATTTAGCCTTGTTCAAAGCCTAATACAGATGAAAACTCCTTCATTAAGGTAACGGCTAATAAAATTATTTTAAAAAGTTCCTGCAAACGGGCCAATTAATTAATTGGACTAGAAAGGCACCCATAGTCTAAACCTGACTTCTTGTCCCAGAAGGTAGTATGAATAGCAGCTAGAAATAACAGGAATAACTGTATTTCTGACAAGGGCTGGAAATTTCATGCAAAAAAAAAAATCAATCCTCTAGGCTGTAAACATTTAAAGACAGCAACTTTAATACATATTCAAACTCAAATTCAGTCCACTAAAATGCTTATATGCCAGTGGCCCGTTTCATTTTTTTTCTCATGTCGTGCACAGTTTTATCACTGTCTTATCCAATTGTGCTATTGTCCTGTCATTTTAATTTGAGTAACAAAATGTGTGGGTGGAAGTAACTCATATGCATTTAAAAACTACTTAAGCAGATTAGTTGAGCCATCTTCTATTTACAAAGAGAACAAGTAACTTAACGGTTTGGTCTCCTTTTCCTGAGATGTGAAGGCTAGGTGGTTCTTTGCTCCAGCAGGGGGGCGAGCTGGGCAGCTGGCAGAAAAGGCCCATTCAGGGCTGACAGGCTAACATGGGCTGCAAGCACTTGGTCTCCACCTGAGCACCACAACGACGAGCCCCCGCAAAACTGCGGTGCACCAGACACGGAGAAAAACATGCACACTTTCAAGACCGAAACTCGAGGGCGGGGAGGCGCTACATTGAGAGTCAGCATAAACCCCTTTTCATAAAATTGGAAAATACTGTTTTTTTTTCAAAACAATAACACACACAAACGAAAGCAGTAGGAGAAATACAACAATATAGCCATGTCTAGAACTTTAAGGCACTTAGGGAAAACTGGTGAGTAAAATGGTTTACTTGGTATCAACCAATTAGATTTGAGCAAGATATGCTCTCACATCAGAGATCATGAAAAACATTATTAATAACTTCACTATTCAATAATAATGGAACAACATAACCTGTAACTGCACTAAAACTTAACTAAAAGAATATCACTTGCGCGTACTGTATTGTACTGTAGTAACCACCAATGTGCAGCCCCCACTTGGATGATGCGACGGCAGCCATAGTGCACCTGAACGCTCACCACACTTCAGCTAATCAGTGGGGAAGAGAACAGAGTGATGAAGCCAGTTCATGGATGGAGATTATTAGGAGGCCTACGGGAAACGCCCTGAGATTTTTAATGAAAGTCCTGAGACTTTGGTTTTACGTCTCATCCAAAGAATGCAGTAGGGGGCATTAGGACCCACACAGACAGCAGTGTGAGTGCCCCCAACTGGCCCCACTAACACCAGGTTCCAGCAGCAACCTTAGTTTTTCCCAGGTGGTCTCTCATATAGGTACTGACCAGGCTCACAACTACTTAGCTTCAGTGGGTTGTCAGTTGTGAGTTGAACTTTTCGTAACTTGAAGGCTTTTTCATGGGAACTATGGGAGATTTTACACAAAGCTGAACTTCCGTCAAGTAATATTTAACCCAGGGAAGCGGTGTATGATTAAAAAGCACCACTTCACCTCTAACTATTGTTCTCTCCTTCCAGGCCCACCAGCTGCTCTGACCAACCCAACACCCAGGACCAAGATCCAGGTGAGGTCTGCCTGCTGTCTTTATTCTGATCTTAGTTTCCAATCTCTGAACCTCATACAACAGCCATTCTGCTCTGAAGAAGGTCTGACTTTCCATGTTTGACCCCGATAAGCAACTTCCTCATTGCTACTAGATTTATGTGAATTTGCATGTCTGTGAGCGTTCCTGTAACAACAGTTTTTCAACATCGGGCTGAGACTGTGTTCCCTCTGGGTCTGTGCTGCTGTGAAAACCTGTTGTTTCCAAGTGTTCGCTGAACTTATTTCCTCATTGCAGGACAGTGAGATGTCCAGGGGGCTGCCGGTCTATTCCATAGAGTATGGCGTACTGGAGTTCCCTGGCGCGGAGAGACGTGTCGAGGGGGAGGGACAGCCAGTCGTACAGGACAATGTGGAGTACGCCACCATCACCTTCCCCCCCTGCCAGAACCCCAGGGCCGGTCGTGGGGCGCAGTCGCAGCTCTGCTGTGGTCGAGTGCGATAGCAGCGCAATCACAGAGCAGCAGACTCAGACTGTGCACATTGCTGTGCAAGTCATGCACAGCACCAAGCACTGGGAGACTGGACACAGGTGTCTGAGCGGAGCTGAGGGACGACACTTGGCCAGCTGGTCTGAACGTTGACTGCACACTGCGCAGAGCTAATAGTGCTGTGCCTGAGTGAAGATGCTGGGACTGCAGCTCTCGCAAATGCTCATGACAAGGGCAGGGAAACATGGCCCTTATCTCCATGTCTCTTAAGAGGACTGTGCACATACTGTACATGCTGCATCAAGTTCACTAAACTGCCCTGAATTTGTACTGTAACAGATGAAACTACTTTTTGCATATGAACACTTCACACTTTTTGAATGTGTGTGGGAATCGGGAATCTGTAATCAGTAACGTCTCCAAGCATTGCTACTGTCTGTGGAGGGAGTGATCAGTGTCTGTGGTGGATGTGTGTGAAGATCTCAGGATGAGCAGCCTGTTTGCACATCAGCAGGACTCCTAATCTCCAGTCCTCAAGGGCTGCTGTCCTGCATGGATGATAGGTCTCTTTACTACTCCAGCTCCTTGAGAACAAAGAAAGGCTTCAACATGTCCAATTAAGCAATTAATGAGTTGGGGGCACAGGTGGAAAGAAAACCAGAAATCGTCTGGCCCTCCAAGATTGGAGTTGTGCACCAGCTTGCCATCTGAGCAGGAGAGTTCAAGTGTTCTATTAAAGTCTTAATTGAGCCTAATTTACCCCACAATAAGAGGTCTAGCAGAGCTGATGAATTTAGGAGAACTACAGAGCGTGTTGGGCTGTTTCCCTTGAGGACCAGACTGGGGTGACCTGGCCAAAAGCAACACTACTGATCAAAGATTAACATCCAACTGGCTTTTAAAAAAATACCTGGAGCCATGCAATCGATGCTCAGAGCTGTGGAACGTGGACCCTTCTGGTTCACTTCTTTTCACCAGCCTGTAGCACAGGGGTCTTGCGCTCAGTCTCTGGAGGGTCTTTTGATTTTTATTCCACGTGAACTCTCTGATGTTAATTTAGTTGAAAAGTTGTCATTCTCTTTACAGGTTCCAAGGTGTGCCCTGGAATTTTGGAAAAATAGAAAATGAATAAATGAAAGTTTATATTCTATATGTTAGTTTTGTGGAGCGTGATGTTAAAGTGTCATGTGTTACACAGGTTGTGCAGGCAGGGGAAAAACCAACAAGAATGTGGAGTCACCATACAGGACTAAGCGACAAAACTAGCAAGACTGTTTCATCTGCAGCCTCTACAGTGATGCACACCATTGTGTAGAGCATTATGTTTGTAATTTTCTCATGATACTACAGTCATTGCTTTCTTCCCTGTCCCACAGGCCCAGAGTACTTTTCTGCACTGTCAGTGCACACAGCTGCTTGCTGAGAACATACAATCACACCGTGTGTTGTTAGAACTCCCTCTGGCAGAGCTCAGTGACTCACTGTGCAGCGTTTTCCTTAATTTATTTACAAATGTTACGCATAATAAAGTTTGTGTTTCTATTCATTAAAATCTTTCATATGTGTGTGTACCTTTTCTCGTGAGTGGACTGATTTTCTGAGACCAAGCAGTAACAAGAGCAGGACAAGCTGCCCGTCTGATGCTCTTCTGGATTCGCGAGAGGAATAAAGCTCAGAGGAACAACAATGAGAAATACATTTTCCATGACAGAAGATAGTTTTGGACTACAGGCTGGCTAGCTTAAAACTCTCAGGATTATGAAGGCTAAAGGGGCAGAGCTTTGAAATTCAGAGCTCCTGAGCTATGGGAAGGCTCCACTGATACATTTCACACTAAAACATCTGTTTTTAATCCAGACTTAGTCAAGTCTTCTAGACTAGATTTATATAGAATATCGTCAATTTTAGCTCTTTTTGAAATTCTTTTCAAGTTGCTATTAAATGGTATCTATTTATTCATTATTTATACAGGTAAGCAGGCCTTTTAAGCAAGCGTGTTATGTTAAGTCAAATATAGCGGAAAAGTTTAAGATGAGCTGCAATGTGATTTATTTTACAGTTTTTAACATTACTGTTATGTTCTTGAACCCCTTGGAGATGCTATATTAAAGAAGACTGGTTAATTGAGAAAGGCACAATTAATTATTTTTTAAGTAGCTCAAAATTATGATCAGGTAAACAGGTCTTTACTTGGTAATACTGTGAGTCCTTGGACTTTACTTGGTAATGCTGGGAGTCCTTGGACTTTACTTGGCAGTACTGGGAGTTTTTGGACTTTACATTCAATACTGTGAGTATAATGACTTTACTTGGCAGTGATGCGATTATCTCTGGCACGTTTGAAATGCACAACCCAACCAAATTTCCAGCTAAGGTTAAGTGAGCGAACCTTGGCAAGCTGAATGGGCACAATGTCTTTCCATGTCTCAGCATTTCCACCAAGGGAGAGCAAGACACTGTTGTGGGTACGTCTGTGTGTGTATTTGTGAAAGTGTGGGCAGTGAGCATAAATTACACATACAGCTTTATACAACCAAGAAAGAACATTGTTCAGGCTTGGGTTTGACATGTAACTACAATCAATTTTTCCCAAGGGTACAGCCAGAGAAATGCCCCCACAGTGCATCACTGTGCCCAGGTGGAGGATGGACTGAATTTTCCCATGTTTTTTTAGTTACAATCTCACAACAATGTTACAGACCAACATCCAAGACAACACTGGAACATCCAAGCCATCCCTGATGCGGATTACCACATTTTCCATTCATCATTTTCCTTTCTGCCATCCTCACCTGTCTCCACACTGCAGGCCAAGATACTGTGTTGCCACAGAGGCGGCTCTGGGAGAACTCTCTCACAAGGCAATAAGAATTTAACGCCAGTAGACACGACCCGCCCCTGGCCTCAGCGCGTGGGCAGCCGCGATTCCCCGCACTCTGCAATTGAGGTCTGTCTCTGTCACCGATTTCAAAGAACTCGCCGGTCGCTGCTGAGCTGTGCAAGGAAGGGGTTCACAGCTGAACCCAAGAGGAAGCAGCAAGTATAAATATCCCAGGGCCACAGGAGGCCAGCCATCAAAGAGGCACACACTCTCAGTTTCAGTAGCATATGGTTTTTCCCCAACAGAGACAGCTACCCTACTCGTAGCAGTGGTGCCAATACAGTGCAGCTGTCGAGATTCCTTCTGGCTTCACCAGCACAGTCCCAGCTGATCTGGAGTGACAGCCGTCACACAGCAGCGCAACCGCTCTGCACAAGCAACATTCTGTCCACCAGGTGGCAGCTCTGGTCCGTGTCAGCGGAACCACTACTGGATTAACAGATAACACTCCAATCAAGCAGATGCCTGGTGAAACTGGGATGAACTGTCCAGGATTAGAATTGGTGTACAGGTAATAGAATTAAATCTTCAAAATCATGACTTGCTCTGACCCACATGTTCCAGCTCGCTTGTTTAAGTAACATACAGTACATGCAGCTTCAACAGACGGCACTTCTGGGACATTTCAGAAACGTCAAGGTGTCTCTGCATCAGGACTGGTTAGAACCAGCCTGGAAAAGGCGTGCAGCCTGTCATTATTACAATATAATAGGTTTATTCCATGCTGAAAAAAAGCAGAAAGAGAACACAACGTTTCGGCCGTGGAGCCTTCTTCAGGTGTGAGAGAGACAGGGCAGTAGGCAAAGGTAAAGTAAAAAGTAAAGTAGGGAGAACAAAGGTTGGGAGGGAGGAGGAGTGAGAGGCGGGAGCAGGGGACAGAGAGGCCAATCAAGAGGTGTGAAGTCAGAATGGGTGCAGAGAGGTGTGAAATGAAACTTCCAATGAATGGAGAAAATTTAAAAGAACAGTAATCTGTCGTTAAGGGAAGGGAGAATGTGTGATCCTACCTGCAGAATAATTTTAGTTTCGGTGGTCTTTCTGATGTATGAGTTCGGAAAACCGTCTTTGAGAACACAGACGGAGAGATTAGAGTGGTCGTGGCCGTCAGAGGTGAAATGAGAAACAATGGGCTTGGAATATATATATATATTATTACAATATATTTGTTTACTTGACTGCAGTCATTGTACAGAACTTTATTATAATGCGGCCATGATAGACAACTTTCTTGCCCAAAAACAGAAATGACATGAAATTAGACAATATAACTAATATGTCATATTATTATAGGGTTCTCATAATCACCGAGAATATGTACTCTCAAACCCAATTGGCTTGGACAGTTTTGTAAATAAAATTATTTCATTCTGAAATTAACGCAGTATGGTAATCACAAGACGACAAAACTCCTTCTTTTGTTTCCCTTACGCAGAATCAGCCGACATTCTTGAGGTGAGTCTCTGTTACTGTATCTTTTATTGACTTGTGAGCGCCCGTATAGGAGTGCAGTGAATGGTGAAAGAATCCCCATCGCGGTTCACACAGAGCACCTTAGCGCACCTCAAAATAAAGCAGATCTGGCTTCAGATGTACAATATCTCGGTACTGCCGTGTCGTAAGGGGTGTTATCGCCGAACACACCCCGTACGACTACGTGATGGACAAACTCCAAGCACGGGGATCCTATCGGCGAACCGTCACGTCATCCCTGCGAAGCCTGAGGCTCAGGTGAGGAAACAGAAACAGAAAGAAAGGGCTGGATTTGGGAACACACCCTGCTCTGACCTCCTGGTCAAAGAAAAACACGCAACCTAATGCGAAATATTTGGCACCATGCTCTGCAGGGGCTGTGAGCCAATTACGCAATTAAATACCGAGGAAAGCTGAGCCATTTAAGGAAATGATCTCTTTGTAATATAGGACATTTCCAATTATCTTTTGTTTTGCGGTCCCATAACGGGGGCGATGCAGGGGCGTAGCCAGGAATTGATTTTTGGGTGGGCATGTGCAAAAGTGGGTAGGCTGGGCTCTAATTGACCGTTCTGCCAGCATAGGAGCACCTCACCGTAACCCTTAGTGCTGCGTTTGTGTCGCTGTAAGTAGCGTTTGTGCTGCTTTCGTTTCCGAGATATAGCGCCTTGTTTTTTCGGGTAATCACGGAACTATCTACAAGAATGTTTACATGTACCAACAAACTCGATACTTGAGCTCCTGACTGTGATGAAAAAAATTGGGGCAGTTTGTTTTCGGAGTCTGTCTGGTCGGGTGGGGTGGATGTTTCAATATATTTAAATGAAGCGCCTTCTTTTCCTGGCTGTGACGTACAGTACAAAACAGCAAAGTCACGACCACCAGATCTTTCAGTTGTGATCTTTTGATCAGTTCACCCCTGACTTTGCACCCTTTACGCGAATAAACAGTTACATTTAGGGAGGATTTACTATGTTAGTTCATTGGGTTAGGTGTTTTCTTTACATTTTTAACCATGTTTTCGAAAATGTATTGCTTGTGTACTTCTTTCTTTGGTGAAGAGACACCAGTTTCCAAATTACCGCTGGTACAACACGAGAGCCCATATTCACATTTTTAGGTATTGATTTCAAGATCGATATAATGTAACAATAAAAACAAAACTGAAAGCACGAGCATAATAATATAATAATCATAGACTTTACATTTCTGTTCATTTTTGAAGTACATTGCAAATAAAATATATTTATTTAGAAGAGTACGGGAAATTGTGAATGAATAAAGACGTTAAAAAAATAAGCCGATATAGTTATTTTGCAAATAAGTAAAGCATTTTAAAAATAGATTCTCATTCTCAGGCTAAACCCCTGAACAGTTCGGGCCGAGATTGGGTGAGGAGTGAGAATCGCCACTCTGATTCGGTAAAGCGCCACAGTGGAAGTTCCGAGAACATGTAGCAGGTTAGGTGATGGATATTCTTCTTGGTCCAAATACTGTAGCCCCGGTTAACCGTGTGTGCTGTATGAGCACACTGGATATACAGTAACACATCCATTGGTTTCCAATTACTAATCAATCTAAGCAAAGTCGCACTGAGGTCAAAACTGAATAGCACACAAAGAATGTCATGGCATCCACAGCGCATTCAGGACTCCAATAGCATGTCACGAGTGCGCGCATCAAGATCACATCGTGATACCCGTTGCGAGCCACTGTCGCGATATGACACACCCATCAAAAATGTCCCCGCCCATGTCACGACCTGAAAGGCCACGTATCGCGATATGAAGCCTGTTTATCGCGATATAACATACCCCGGCAAAAATACCCCGCCCCATGTCGCAACATGAAAGGCCACATATCGCGATATGACACCCCCAGCCAAAATACCCACCCCCCCATGTCGCGACATGGAGTCCATATATCGCGATATGATAAAACCCCTCATGTCTATGTCATGACATGTAGCCCATATATCGCGATATGACATACCCTGAAAAAATGCACCACCCCCATGTCACGACATGAAGCCCATATATCGCGATATGACATACTCCGACAAAATGCCCCATCCCTGTGTCGCGACATGGAGTCCATGACACATCCTATCTGGGTATATCATGTCCTGATATGAGACCTTTGTTGCGACAGTGGTGCCAGGGTGGTATGGAAGCAAGGCGCCAGTCGTGATATACACGGCCGCGATATATGCGATGGGATCCCTATCATGACATGCTGCGGAGGTCTTGTAGCAATGGTATCCCACAGTTACGCGTTTGGCAACAGCGTGTCACGGTAGGGAAAGAAAGGATAACATGCCTTAGAAAATAAAAACAGTAGTAGATCTTGCAATCACAGTGATTTTACATACATTACAACCACAGGTTTATGTCATAGATGGTTAACTTGTTGGCATGCACCGTGTCTTAGTATTATTCACATCTAAGGAGGCTCATATGTTTATGGATATTGATTGTCTCTAAAATGTTAAGAGTACGAGCTTAACTGTAACAGAGCGCTTGAACTCGGCAGACGGGGTCACTGCATGGTCATATGATCACCGGAAAAAAACAAGGCGATATATCTCGGGAACGAAAGCAGCAAACATACTGTAGCACTAACGAATGAGACCGTTTCGGTTTCCCTACGACATTGTAGGGGGATGAGTGACGTCACGGCCCCGAAAAAACAAGCCACTATATCTCAGAAACGAAAGCAGCACAAACGCTACTTTCAACGGCACAAACGTAGCATTAACGAAAGAGGTGGGTTTAATCGTTTGTGCTGTCTGTAGGGGGGCCAACTTCACGGAGCTTTTACCTTGCCTTTAAATATTCAGCGGACTTAAGCATAACATACCAAACATGCACGCACGTATGGGTTTCAGAGGTTGGAGTAAATGCATCGCCCCAAGGGTAATACTGAGTGAGGCGCCATGAGAATAAAAACTGCGAAGGTATTAAAATGTTAAGTTCTGAAGATCTTGTTTGATCCTTCATGATGCTTTTACATTTGTATGAAACCCACGAAATTAGTATTCTATTTTCGATGCCAAAAGACACCTAATTTGGAAATTCGTGACTTTCCACAAGACAACACTGAATTGTTATAGTCGCATTACAGTGCTAACCATTTAATCACACCTTTAATTGCAAGAATGGTCTGCTAATAAAAGCGTCAAATACATACTTTGGATGGATGTATTTTAGCTCTGTAAACGCCGTTCACTTAAAAATGCTGCAGGGCATTTAGAGGCGACCTGATCAAATGCACACAGGCATCTATCCGTCAATATTTTCGTAATGTTTTTCATGCATTCCAAAACTTGAAATTCGTTTACAGGATACATTTTAAAACCTCTTTGTGCTTAACTCCTAGAGGTCGAGCATGTATCGAGCTGCTACAACTACAAGCAAATGCGTCCACTGCCGCTTGCGTTCCAGAAACACTTCTGGAAGGCAGGCTGTACTCCTTAAAACCCAAGATGCCTACCTGGTCTGGTCATCTACACGAGGCCTTTTCAAAAACGTAGATATATGCATTTGTTTTGCCATGTTGGCTAATAAACGAAAAACCTAGCGCTAGATAGCTCTAAGACAGTCTGACGACAATTATAGCCAATTAGGCTACGGCTACGTATGCTATATTTACATAATTGTCTTATTGGTCACAAAAGATACAGCGAGACAATAGCAAATCGCATACGATGAAATAAAAATCAAACACATAACATTAAAAAGCAAATCATGTAACGCAACAAGGGAAAAAAATCTTAAATTACTTTGGACTGATTGGGTAGGCCTAGGATCAATCAGGCCCACCCGTGGCTACGCCCCTGGGGTGATGGGTGAAAAGCTGAGCACCCCCTGCTAACTTAAATACACCTCACACCCGTCGGATAATGACTCAGTCCATAGAGCTGCTTTCTTAATTAGATCTAATCCATTGTTTTCTGTACGGGCCCTTTTGGTTCCATAAAAACATTTTGCTTTTCATTCTGTCCTCATATTGTCCAATAAATCAGCATGTCCACATAGCACAAAAGGCCAAGCAGATACTTCGGATGATTCCCACACAAACACAAGAACTACACAATTTTATAAATTCCATACTAAGCCATTGATTTTGGCATTGTTCCAGTTCCTTTTATCACAGACAACATCTGCTAGCCATTAACAGCTTTAAGGGTTTCTCACTCGAGATCTCCGTGATGATTTTATAGGACAGTTTAAACATGTGAAAGCTAAATTATCTGGGAACTGTTAATGTAGGTTAATGTAGAAAATTAGGTCCATAACTGCTTATATCGCAAGTTACCACTTGTAGAATTAAAAGCAAATTCCTCATGGCACTCCTGGTGTCAGGATCGTGGGAAAAGGAGGATTTTGGTTTTTATTGCCTGTTGTATTGGTTCAATGTGCATGGCCCCACGTCAGCTCGTTCTGGTTGCTGTGTGACAGACAGTAACTGGTCCACCTGGATACTCACAGGTCAGGTGTTTTAAGTGCCCTAGAACAATGTGGGTGTCCCCTCACTGCATCCCTCTTCAAAGTCCCTCTTCAAACAATACCTTATTTGAAAGATTTTGTTTGTGCATGCATTTGTTCTTGTGTCCAGATGAAACAAAACCTTAAAATATTTACTCATTAGGTCAGTATAAGTCACACTTACAGTAATTTATACTGGTCCTTATTTTTTATGAATTTCCTAATAATTTTAGTTCTGTTTTATTAGTAGCTTTCCTTTTCATTGCAAACAGGGATATAGACAGTAGAGGAAAACGAGACTTAACCCCCCCTGCTATTTTAATCCCCTCTGAATCACTGCATAGTTTTCATCTGGTGTTACTTACTGTAACTAGGCAGTTCTCAGGACAAACAAATAAGATTACTATCTATCTACACAGAGTTTATCTATCCTGCTAATCTGTGCTTGAAGTGTCACAAATATATAAATAACTTAATTTGCCATTTTATATATTTAACTGGCATTCTGCCTGTTAAATGGCAGTCCAAAAAACAAAATAACAGTCAAAATCTAGCCAGATAGTAACACAGAGTCTCAGTTTGTGTAGTAGTTTCTGAAACACTGTTCTTCCGTACTTTTACTGTAGCCTCTTATTGTAATAGGACTGTTCCACTGTACAATAACTGTAGCCCCTGTTGTAACAGGACTGTTCTACTGTACTATTACTATAGCTCCTAAAGTAACAGGACTGTACTACTGTACTGGACTGTAGCCCCAATAGTAACAGGCTGTTCTACTGTACTATTACTATAGCCCCTAAAATAACAGGACTGTACTACTGTACGGGGAATGTAGCCCCTATTGTAACAGGAGTGTTTTACTGTTCTGTAACAGGATTTTTGTACTATAAATTCACAATGCCTGCCAGCTGTTTTTCACTTTGAGATGGGCTTATGTCATATACAATCAGCTTTTGGTGAATTAACCAACATCACCCTTCAGACCTATAATAGAAGATTACAGCAAGTCTAACAATCATTTTTTAAACAGCACAGAATATACACATTTTCATGTAAAGACATGGATTAGTGGTGGGTCAAGGTTGTCAGTGAAGGATTATTGCAACAGAATAAATGTAAAAATCCTGAAGAGCACTTTCAAAAGTACAATTTATAAAAAGACTTTCTCTATTTTTCATTGCAGGCAAAGACCTGGAGCAAACATCCCAGCACTAGTGTTACAGTTTATACCATTGTGAAAACTGTAAATAACTGTCATGTAGAAGAGAGGTGCTCTACTACACATAGGCTCTGGTGCAGTGGAGCTCTGACACAGCTCGAGAGAACAGCACTCACCCCACCAACACCGACATGGACAGCAGTCCTGATACCGACATGCAGAAGCTCAGGCCAGGGGACAGCACCCAGGTGAAACGAAAGTTAATTAAAACAGTTTCAGTTTTGCTTCCTCTGCTGCCAAACAGCTCAGCTGACTGGCAGAGAATGAGGAATATAGGCAGCCACCCACACGACATAAGGGCTTAAATACCTTGGTTAGCAGCTCAGAGTGAATTCACTGCTGAGCTGGGAAGAAACACACACAAAGGAGCTGTCAATACTGGATGAGAAATTAGGGCTGGTTAAACTAAATTAAGTGCAAAACTTAAAAATGCTAAACCAGGAATGGATCAGTATCTTCCAAAGCAAGATTTGCGATCTGAATAAAGGGCACAGGTGGTGGATCGAGTTTGACAACAGCATTGAGGTGGATCAGCAGGCGGCAGGCTGGCAGCAGTACATCCGGAAAGCGTTTGCATGGTAAGACCGCACGGAGAGAAACTAGGGTCACTGGGCTGCCGTGTGTCCAGGAACCCAGCGTTAGAGAGCTGGGCAGCAGCAGAGACAGCATTTTCTTTAGGCAACAGCTGTAAACTGCAGTCTCATTATCCAGCCCTACACTCACACAGATGATGATTTCAAACCACAGCCACATTGTGCATCTGTAATGTGACTTTCACTTCTGTAAAATCTCTAGCTGATTATTTCTGATTGGAAAAAAAATACCATGGGTGCATGCATTATACAGTATCTCTACGTTCCACCAAAAAGCACATAAAACAGTAAAAAAGAAAAACATGCACATAGTTTTTGAGTAAACATAATTTCCATTAATTAATCTGCGGAGGGTGTGGAAGAAGGTTTATATGTACAGTTCTTGAATACTTCAAGACAGCTGGTTATCTCCACATCCTGCCCTGTGGTGGAAGCTGTCTTTGCTAACCGCAGTTCCTGCCCTCTCTGCTCTCCTTAGGTTCTCCTGCACAATGTGCAGGAACACATGGGCCTCAGCCCAGGTGCCAGTGGTCTTCCACATGCAGCTGAACCAGGCCCAGGGCCAGGGGACTGTCAAGGTGCGCTGGTACAAGCAGAAGTGCCGAAAGTGTCAGAATGCCAACTTCGAGGAGCCGCAGATCAAACGTGACAATGTCGAGGTCCTGCTGGACAAGCTGATGGAGAAGATCCTTTCCAAGTGCTACAATGAAAACACCGGAGAGAAAAACAGATCCTTCTACGTCGAAGGGGAACGGGAGGGGCCACACGAGAAGGCACACTGTGAAGCGTGTTTCAAGGGCATCTGCCAAAGGACCACCTGAGTGCCACCTGGGATGGAAAGCAAATGGCATTCTCTTGTGCCGGAATCAGGGAAAGACTCCTGTTCCACAGCAGTTTGATCCACTCCCGTTTATTTTATGAATGCCAATGATGGTTGCCAAATATATGTATACCTTTTTCACAAATCTGCACAGGCAGATTTCCAGAAAATAGTGAGAACAAGCTAGAAAGACCAAACACCTGGTGATAGCTTCAATACAAGAACCTACGGGCAGTAAAAACAGCAGCCAGTAATAAAAAAATGGCTGGGTCAGACTGCTGTGTTTTGTGAGTCTGATCTGTTTCCCTGCAGGGTGAATGGTTGTATATAGGGGCAATATCCTCATTTTTCCTTGTAGACAATGTTTTAAGCAATAAGCTAAAGGGGGCAGCTTGTTCTCAAGGTAGTTTCTACTGAATACTGTGAAAATTAAGGTTCTATATGTTTTTTCCTGTACTTTAATGCTTTCAAAAACTCTGTACAGTTCTGTAAATTATATTAATTATATTAATTTATTTTATAAAGATACAATGAAGCTTTTGGTGTAGGGCTCCATAAATATTTCAGAGGATCCAGTTATATTGTTTATTTTAAATAAATTAAGGATGGCCAATTACTTTTGTTATTCTCACCCAGTTTGGAATAGCCAACTGCATTTCAGCTCACAGATACAAACCCTGCAACAGCACACAAGGGAGAATAAGGACGTACAGGCTCCTCCCACTCATCCACCTACTGTACAAGCCACTCCCCTTTCCACACAGAAATACTATAGCAGGAGGTACAGCACCGACTGCAGAACATCCCTGGAATTTCAGGATATTCACCCTTCATAAAAAAAAACACTACCTGTTATAAACACACCAAAAAGGCGATAAATGAGGACAGGAAGCATTTTTTCCAAATGAACATATTTAATCTACATGAAGTATCAGCTAATAGCTATAGACTCTGAAATGGCATAGAGCAGTATGAAAAGTTCTTACTTTAGAGTGCTTTGACACAATACAAAATAGTCCTGTACAGTATATACTGTATATAAAAAAAAAGATGCCATGGAAGCCCTTTGGCTTTAACAAAAACAGAGCTTCAGTAACTTAGGGAGAATGATAGGTGAGACAGAAATAAGAAAATACTCAATTTATTCAAGCTGGAGATCCATAGAGACACACAAGAGAAAGGTGTCACTGGCCAGCAAAAAGGGATGAGCCACCACCCACACTAAAGTAACTCGCACTGTCAGAAAGAACAGCTGTGAAACTACAGGAAATGAGGAAGACTGCAGCCCCAACAGTGACAGTGTATTTTAAAAATCACAGCTCAGTGCCAAGGAGATTATGGCATTACCAACCAAGAGAAAGTCAAGGGTCTATCCTTATTAACAGTCAGCAAAATGACTCCGAGTATCTCAGAACAGGGTGCTGCTCAGCTCATGCTTTATGAAAGGTGTAAGGAATTTACCGGCAATCCCTGTCTCATTGCTCCTCCGCGCCATAACAATGGATGATAAAACCATCGCTGCACACTTCAGAGTGGGAGTGAACACAGCCCGTGCACTTGGTGGAAGAGAGAAGAGTGCTCTGACCATGTGAGAAAAAGCCAAGGCTCCGAGTTCATAGTGGAGAGGTCAGAGTTCAGAGTTAGAAGTCTGGCATTGAGTGCTCAATCACCCCCCCTTTTCCTATTTCCATCTTCGTCATCACATCGTTTGGGGTTGTACTTGATCTCAAACTTCGGAACATTAAACTTGCGGGTGCACCCGGCGTAGTTCATGTAGCGCACTTTCCCAAATATCTCCCTCTCTTTCCAGCCCTGGTCATGGATCCCGCAGATGGACCACATACAGCCTGAGAGCGAGGGGGGTGGAGACAGAGGCATTAAGCTACGACCGTAAACCATCGATCAGAGACAGCAGAGACGTGGCAACTGTTAAAACAAGACAAACCGAAAAACAAGCTCACCTGAATCACCATTCCCCGTGTATCACCGCCGACAGACAAGAGGTGTGGATAAAGCAGATGGGACACAATTAGAGACAGACAAACAAAACAGACACATACTTTTGTACATAACTATAAGCTCCATCCATTGTAAATATTTAAACAGTCGTGTTTTGACTTACTTGTGATATCCTAATCAGGACTGCGCATGAGTCATTTTTGTTTTCAGCATTACAGTGACATCTAGCTATTTACGCTCTTGCCTGGGGTTTAAATATCAAGCAGTGAATCTAATTGGTTGAATCTAAACAGGGAGGTGCTTTGTGATTAAACATTGTCTTTACTGTAGGGTGAAAGAAGTGGTCGGTAGTGTTTTGTGGAGAAAGAGTTTAAGAAAAGCTTCAATCTGCATATAATTTTGTTTCATTGTATTTTGTTTTGTTTTTTTATTACCATTGACATCACCCTCATTCACATTTTCAAGCAATATTAAAAAAGGCAAGAGAAGAGTCTAATCCCAAAACACCAAATGAAAATAACACCACAGGTTAAACACAGGACTGTCTATTGGTGAGTTTATCTACTTCAACCGCACACGTCGCCAGAGAGTTGAATGCGGTAAGATCATCTTGACTCTCCCGACCTTCAACTCTAAAGCTGTTCAAATTTCTTCAGCCAGGAAAAAACAAAGGTAAAAATATTCAGACTAAAAAAAAAAAAAGAGAAAAACAGCGTGAGGTAGTGAGAAAGAGGAAAAGCACAATATCGAAGGGGAGAAATGAGAGGGAGAGACTTGCTTTTTGCAGGTTAAAGCAGTGTGACCATCGCAGCTGGTGGGAACTGAACTGTGCGCATACTTTAACCACAACAAGAGCGCAGGCTGATCTGCATTAAGGCTCAGTCCATACAAGATATGAATGGCGTATGCACGACCAATGACCGCGTTGATCATCACAGAACAGCACTGACCTAGCCCTGCCCCTGCACTGACCTACGTATCCGTTGGGGTCGCGACCGTCCAGCTCGTAGCGGTCATTGAGGTATATGGCAGTGGCCAGAGCCTCTTCCGGTGACGCTGTCCACTCCAGGATCTTCTTGGCCCAGTACATCCGGAGGAA